AGAGAAAGCCCATGCACAGCAACAAAGACCCAACGCAGCCAATAAATTAAATAAATAAATAAATATATATATATATATATATATATATATATATATATTTTAAAGCAAAGGTTAAAGTCAAAGAAACAGATCCAAGGTGGAGTCTGATTTAGCTCTTCGCTGTGCCAATCCAAGAGACAACACAAATCCCAGATGGCTGGAATGCAGACTGCCGGGGGAGGTTGGGGAGGAAGCAGGAGCCAGACTGGGGAGGGTCTTGGTAAGGAATTTGGGTTTTATCCTGGGGCCCTGGGAAGCCACTGCAGGCAGGGGAGAGGCAAGATCAAATTTATTTAGTAAAACTGTTGCAGGAAAGGGGACCCCTTCCAGGCCCCAAGAGTGGTCTCTTATCTAACACTTGGAAATTAATTGTCCGAGGAGACACACGTGCTGACAAAGCAAGAGACTTTATTGGAAAGGGGCCCCCAAGGTGGAGAGCAGTAGTATAAGGGAACTCAGGAGAACTGCTCTGCCACGTGGCTCGCAGTCTCAGGTTCTATGGTGATGGGGTTAGTTTCCAGGTTGTCTCTGGCAAAGCACTCTGACTCAGGGTGCTTCTTGGTGGCGTGCACATCACTCAGCCAAGATGGATTCCAGCGAGCAGGATTCTGGGAGGTTGGCAGGACATATGGACTGGAGTCTCCTCTCTCCTATTGACCTTTCCCAAATTCTTCCATTTGGTTGTTGACCTCCTGTTGTAAGATGACTCATGCAAGTGGTTACTATAGTGCCTGGCCAGGACAGGCAGTTTCAGTCAGTGGTTCCCCTAACAAAACTGTGGCTTCAAACTGAACAATGGGTTAGATGGAAACAATAATGTGTGCAGGAGAATAATTAGGTAACTACATAGTTCTGGCAGAAATGATGGTCTCTGGGACTAGAATGGTGACAGCAGAGATGGAGAAAACTAGATGGAATCAAGAGAGATTTTTCATAAGCTGTGATGATGAATCAGAATGAAGGAGACCAAAGAGCCCAGGGCCACACAGTCTAGATGACTTAATGATGAGATCATTTGTGGAAAGAGGAAACGGAGAGAAGAAGCTTGGGGTGAAGGTGAGGAAAGTTATGAGTGCTGCTTTGAACAGGTTGAGCTGAGGTGCCTGTGAGACCCTAAGAAGAGGTGCATAGTAGGGATAATAACACCCCTAGCTAAGATTTATTTAGCCCTGTACTACATGCGAGGCCTTCTGTTAAGTACACAAACTAGATTATCTATCAAGAGGCATCTGGATCTCTGGGGCTACTGCTCAGAAAGAGATTCGAGCTAGACACAGGAGTTGAGCTCAGATCTAACGTCAGGGTCTAGGCAGTGAGGGCGAAGAGCTGAAGCCACTGGTGTAACACACTTGGTGTGGCAGGGCCAGGGGGAGCTGGAAAGCAAATGCCCAGTCTGACCCCGCACAAATTCAGACTTATAAAAAAATACTGGCATGGAAAAGAAAGGGCAAGCCCCAAATGGAGTCACTTGCCCCCTCAGACAGCAAACCAAGACTTAATTGCAGTTTCAATCCCTCCTAGAAACGCGACCTTTGAAACGGTCAATCTGAAACAATCTATGGGAACAAAGTTATCTGCCTGATAAAGACCCCTTCCATTCCCCTCCCCCCAAAGAAGACAGCCTGGCCTGAAACACCCCTTTCTTTTCTCCTGCTAATACCTTCCTGACCCACCCTCCTTTCACCTATAAAAACCTTTCACTTTGTACAACTCCTCAGAGCACCCTTCTATTTAACTAGATGGGATGAATAAAGCCAATTAGATCTTCAAATTTACTCAGTTGAATTTTGTTTTTTTAACACTGGTCAGACTAAGTAAAGCTCATGTGTGGCCTGCCTGGATTTGTCTTTCTGGTCCCCAGTTTGTGACCCCTCATAATTAAACCAGGGGACAGGGAGGGATGGCCTAAAAGAGGATATAGAAGAGGGTGAAATCAAGCCCAGAGTTTCAGCCTAACACGCAAAAAGCTGGCTTTGAATAAGCTCCCAACTGATATTTCTCAGGATGCAACAAGCGACCGATAGTGTCTGATTCTAATGCTGCCTAGTAATTAAGTGAGGTGAATGCCTATCTTCTATGCTTTCTTACACCTGGTTCAGTAAACTTTAGCATAAAGGGACGTTTGAGCTGGAAGACCCCTTGGGGCTCACTTCGTACAGGGGCTCTCCAACACTGGTGTGCGGATCAGAATCTCCTGGGGAACCTGCAAAATGTCCAGACGCCCAGGATCCTCCCAGACCCTCTGAATCAATGTACAAGGAGGGCCCCAGGCACCCTGATTTTAACAAGGTCCCAGGTAATTCTGATGCACACACCTAGCATAGGAGCTGTTCCTCTGGGTCTACCCTCTCAGATAAGGAAACAGCCCAGAGAGATGAAGTAAGTTGCTCACCTGCACGCGGCTAGAGAGGGGCAGGGTCTGTCCACACTCTGCTGGTCACTCCAGCCCTTTCCATTAACCTCCCCATCCCCAAACTCAGGCCCAGCCCAGGCTTGGAGATCAGTGGGTCTCTGGGGCATTCACAACTCAGAATCAGATCTGCAGTGTTCATGATCTCACCCTGATTTTGTACCCAACTCCAACAACTGGGTTTGGTCTTATCTTACTCCCACTCCCCAAGCTCCTTCCTTGGGT